GAGGCTCGGAGAAGTTGACTAGACTCTTTACCAGAACGCAAGCACCAACCCTTCCCTTCCAGGCATGTTGAAAGAATCAGTGCCAATGTGTATAAGGTTTTCTGCCCAGTGCCTAGCCTGTCACTCAATAAACCCAGTAGCTGTTACTCAGTTCCTCCTTCCTATGAAAGTCGAAATCAGCCCCAACTCCTGAGTGTGGGATTGCAAGAGAGCTCGTTCCATTCCTTGGGCTCCTCCAAATCTTTTGAAAGTTCTCAAAACTGAAGATCCAGGCTGCCTGCTTTCCTGCGACTCTCATAATTAGGACGAGTGCTTAATTGGCATGTTTGTTTCCTCCAAGGGGTGGCTGGCAGAGGATCCTCACACGACAGAGGAGGCTGGCTCTGCTTTTGTTCTTAGCAGCACTGTGTGCCCATAGCAACAGCGAGTGAATCCGGCAAAGTTGAAAAGAAAAAGTGCCCAGAGTTTACTTGAAGGTTGATTGCCCTGGAAAAGTTGATACTCTTGCGCAGATCTCCCCGGGTCCTGAAAAACGTGCTCGTCAACCCCACAAATCCAAACCGTGCCTCTTGTTTTCTTTAAGACAAGGAGTCCGGTCAAGAGGTCTGTGTAATGAAAGATGTTTGTAGAATCCATTTCCATTCTGCCCAAGTCCATCTGCTTTATGTCTATAATAAACGGATGTTTTCGGCCACTTTCCCGGGCCAGGTCCCGTTAGAGGCACTCACCACAGGGAAAGGTAAACCGCCTCCCAATTGATGAGCATTAGCACATTATGTCCGCAGTGATGGCACTTAACCTTCCCGGCTCGCCTTTCCTTTCTGTGTCTCTGCAACGGCCTGTGACAAATGGACCAAGGGGCACACACTTAGTTAGAATTTAGTACGCGTGGGGCACTGGCCAGCGTCACATTACCCGGTGACTGAGGAGAACTGTAGGCAGCAGGAAAGGCCATCCTCTGGGAAGCTGGGGACTACCTGACCTTTGCCAGGCAGAGGGGTCCCGGGGATAGCCATCCTGGGGCTTGCTTCCTGACACACCATCCTGGGAGCACTTGAGAGCTCTTAAAATCCTTCAGAGGTTCCTCATTGCCTATAGAATGAAATCTAGACTCCCCCTTGGGGGACTGCGTGATCCTTGCACCCTCTGCACCCCCGTCTTGGGCCACCCACTCATCAGCGTACAACACACACAGCCACATCTATGTGCTGTTAGTCCATCGCCCCCCTTAAGTGGTGGTTTCTGAACCTTTGCAATGCTGGTCCCTGTGCCCGACACACCTTTCCATATCCTCCTTATCGGCTCAATCCCTGTGCCCTTCCTGCCCCAGGCTGAAGGTCACTTCAGAGCGCCTGCCCCAAATAGGTGAGTGTATGAGTTCCTTATGGCTGCTGTAACAAATCGCCACAAAGTATTGGCTTAAAACAACACAATTTTATTTTCTTATGATTCTGGAGGTCAGGAGTCTGAAATCAAGGTGTCAACAGGGCTGCCCTCCTTCTGGAGGCTCTAGGGGAGAATCTGTTTCCTTGCTGGGTCCTGGCCCTCCCTCCATCTTCAAAGCCAGCAGCAGAGCATCTTCCTGCCTTCTGATCGCTGCTTTGGCCCTTATGTCTTCCTCTATGTGACCCTCCTGCTCCCTTTTATTAGTACCCTAATCATGTTAAAATTGGCCCACCCGGATAATCCAGGATAACCTCTGCATTTCTGATCCTTAATTTAATCGTGCCTTCAAAGTCCCTTCACCTGGCAAAGCCACAGCTTATGACCTCCAGAGTGGAGGAATGACCTTGGTGTCAGTGTGCAGGAGGCTGGTCTATCCCTATTGATGGGCTCCTGGCATCTAAGATGGCAAACAAGGCAGGAATATGTTGTCTGCTTTCGGTCTGAGTTGGGTGGAGTGGGGTCTTGGGGAGGGGCCTTAGGTGCCCCTGGGAAGCTGGAAAGGTCAGCTTATATCCCTGGAAGGCCCAATCCATTGACTGCTTGGGACAGAAACAAAGAGAGGAGGTCGCCATCTGAAAAGGAGGATGCTTGGTCAGGGAGAGTCCCTCATTCTCTCGTTTGTGCCACATTCCTGAGTACCTGTGTGCCAGGCACCCTGCAGGAGTTGAGGGGCCTAGATGAGTAAGAAACCTCCCTGGAGGAGTTCACTTTCTACTTGGGGAAGAGAGACGCGGAAACAAGGCAGTGACAGGTCTGTGGTCCGTGAAAGAAGAAAGTGATAAAGTAACAGGTACAGTTAGCGTGGTGGGGGTGTGAGGAGGCATTGGCCTCCAAGGAGAACACCTTGAAGGCAGGAGCGAGGAGGACGTTCGTTTCAGGTGGTCGGAAGAGCATTTGCACCAGCAGGAGAAAGGAGCTGCGTGTTGTATTTGAGGAGCTGGATGAAATGCTATCGGGATGACTGTGAAGTGGGAGGCGGTAAACTGGAGAGGGGGTGGGATCCGGAGGTGGAATCTGTCTGCCTTGCCTCCAGTTTAATGATAAATTCCAAGAAGACAGTATGCCACCTTCACAACTTGTTAAATCCCTCAGCTGCAATTGCCGTTCACTCGGTGGACCTCTATTAAATGGTTATTGGTGAGAAACCTTTCCCAAAAGTAGCAAAAGTCCCCCACAGTTGCCTCATCTTGCTAGATACTCTGACATGATAGGGCAGATGAGTCACTTTTCTTTTTTTTTTTTTTGCTGTATGCAGGCCTCTCACTGTTGTGGCCTCTCCCGTTGCGGAGCACAGGCTCCGGACGCGCAGGCCCAGCGGCCATGGCTCACGGGCCCAGCCGCTCC